GCTGAGCTATCTTGCCAGCCTTGAGAGTCTACATTTCTTAAGGCAGGGATTATGCTTCATGCCTCCTGGGCGCCCCCACAGGACCTTCTATGATGTTACAGAGTGTGGGCCACACGTATAGTCAGGTTTTCATCAGTGACTTGAAGCATAGCAGTGTCATAACATAATCTTTCCCTTTCAGAGGATTTCTTTCCTAGGTCCTATTTTTGTTGACTTTTGTACTTATATCATCTGGAATGTTCCTGTATTTGAGATTGTAAGTTCAAACTCAACTGTCTGTTGGTACAACCATTAAGTGGACCCAGGTCAGGTCCCTGGGTGCCCTATGGCAGGGAATAACAGCCACTAAAAGGTCTAGTCTGACGGTGGGGGAGCTGTCCACAGCCTTCTCCCCACACCTGCTGTTCCAGCTCTTGGGGCAGTTGGGGCCGTGTCTCTCAAGCGGCTTCCCTCCTCCTTAGTGCAGTCAGTTCTTCTTAAGCCAGATGTTTAAATCAGAATGTTTAAGAGATCCTCTTCTGAGGGTCTCTTTCTGTCATACTGCCAGGTTGTAAATATGTGCACATTTTTGGTAGAAGGCATGTAGATTCACAAGCACCTTACCAGTTCCACAGTTCAGCAAGCGCTGTCCTTGTTTGTCTGCAGAAGGCTGCAGGAGCACTGGCCATGGGCCCTTGAGCGAGGTGCCTTGAAAGGCTGAGCAAACAGCTCCCAAAGCTGTAGCATGCCAGCGTGTGTTTAGTGGCTTAAAATAACATGATTTCATAGTTCTCTTGGTTAGGAGTGCAACGTGGGCCCCCTGGACTGAAAGCAGGGCCTGTGGAAGTCTTCACCCTGGGAGAATTCATGTCCTGGCCTTTCCCGTTACTTTGCTCCAGGGCTCACAGCTCCTTGAGTCCATCTTCAGAGCCAGCAGTGGCCGCCTGAGTCTTCCCCGTGCAATCACCTCGGATTCTCCTTGTCATTTCTTTTGCTCTGACTGCAGCCAGGAAGTGTTTTCTGATTTCAGGGATCCATGTAATCTCTGCCTCTCAAGCTCTTTACTTTGATCATACCTGCACAATCCTCTTACTATGTATGTTCACTGACAGGTTCCAGGGACGAGGACACAGACCTCTTCGTGGGCCATTATTGTGCCTATCACAGGGCACACAGGGACCTGACCTGGGTCCGGTCAATGGTTGTACTCACAGACAGCGGAGTTTGAATTTTCTGGCTCAGAGTAATAATTCAAGCTCTAATATCCAGTTGTGTCACTTTTCCTTCGTGAAGCCTCTGATTCATCACCTGAAATTCTTGACTTATTTTCTTTTAATAATTGAGCATGTTAAGTAGATTGAGCATGTTAATTTATGTTGTTGAATATTGCCGACATTTCATGTTCAGGAAATCCAGCAGATCCTGACACTATTAGTGGGTGACAGGTCTCAAATAAGTCTTGCTCCAGGAATTACACTCAGCCAAACAGAGCTACTTTGCCCAAGGTTATGCTCTCTCCAGGGATACTTTACATCAAAGGCCTGACAGATGAGAGTGGGTGGGGCTGGCATGGAGGCCTGGCCGTCTTGCCTCAATCTTGATGGTTCATCCAGCCCCAGAGCTCTCCAGTGAAGAGACCCCAGCTTCCCTTGCAGTGATGGCGTAGTCTGACTTCGCCTTCTGCCCAGTCCTGCTTCTTCATCCTCACATGGATGATACCCAGGAATACTATTCACAGACTCCTGAGTGTGAGTTTCTATCTTAGTTATCTGAGTTTCTATCTTAGAGTTTGAGACTTGTTTTCCAGGGAACTCCGTCATTTGACTCTTCTGAGGGTCTCTTTCTGTTGTTTCTTTTGGTTTTGGTGCATATGGTTTTGTCTTATTGTATGACTGGTTTTTGTTTTTGCTTTTTGATTGAACATTAGATTGCATTTGAAAACTCTGGAAACTCTGAATGTTGACCCTTCCTTCAGAGGACTTAGTGCTTATGTCTGGAGGGTTCCTAGTCTAGGAGCAGTGGCCCACTTAATTGCCTTCATTTAATCTGCTCAGAGGGTCAAGATGATTTAGAATGTGAGTCTGTGTTGTCTGCAGTGTATCTAGGTTCCCTCCACTTCTAGGCTGTAGCCCTACAAATCAAGTGCTTTTTCTACATTTTGTTACTAATTCCCAGGAATCTATCAAAACTTCCTTTAGACGAAATATAGGAAGTAAAGCCATGCTGTTATGTTGAACTGTGGGGGACTCAGGTCAATAATTTCTGACATTGCCAGTTAAACAGAAGACCCAATGCTATTATGGTCTACTGGACTCTTTTTGAATATTTTGCTGAGTTTACACACCTATAATATTCAATAACGGAACTTCGAAAAAATAGGGTATACAGATGAATGTCCATTCTGTATCTGTGTATTCAAAGTGGTTAGGATAGATATATAGTTACATTCTCTTAATGAATAGAATGATTTGTTCTAATGGTGTTTGTAAATAGGATCTCAAGTCTGCATCTTGTACAGCAATTAATCACTAAGAAGAATATATGCAGTGTGTTATTTGTTGAAACTGTACTTCTGATTTGCTTTGAAACTGTCTCATTGCTATCTGTTTATCAATAAAACTTTGAAAAAATAAAAACAAACAAACTTCCTTTAGTTAGCATCAGCCTTTTATCAGACCTTCCCAGTGGAACTGACAGATGCCTCTAGGTGAGGGACAGTCAGGGCTTGGTCTCCTTTGCTCCCAGTTGTCTGAAGCTTTGAGAAAGATTTGCAGTATCTTATTTCATTTTTTGAAAAAATGTGTTTAGTACAGGGTCTACAGGGTCTCACTGCACAGATCGAACTCGTAGTGATCCTCCTGTTTTCAGCCTCCCAAGTGATGGGATTATAGGAGTGCCACCACGCCCAGTCTCAAGTGCCATCTCAGTGCGCCCTGGGGGTGGGACTGGCAGGGCATACTGGGGACCGAACCCCAGTCCCTGTGTCTGCCTAAGCATGTGCTTTAATTTACTGAGCTATCTGGCTGGCCCCCTGCCATTTTGTTTTGTCAAAGTCTAATTTCTCTAATCAGTCTTTTTTTTTAAATAATTATTTATTTATTTATTCATTCATTCATTCATTTTGTGTGTGTGGCCAGCTCAGCCCACCAGGGGGCGGGGCTGTCTGGCATGTGGTGCTGGGGGATTGAACTGCGGTCCCTGTGTTTTGCTTAGCTTAGCTTGTTCTAAGTAGGTGCTTTAGACCACTGAGCCATCTCACCAGCCCTCTAATCAGTCTTTAACTATTGAAATCATGGTTTTTAAAAATACAGCTATTGTGGTATGAATAATTTATTTTTATCACATAACTTGTGTGCCCATTTGCAGTCATTATCTATACAGCTTTGAAGTGGAGTGGTGTTAAAAGCGTCCAGCCAACCCAGACACTGATTTACCCTTCATCAGGAATAGCTGAGAGGCGCTGCCCTCTCTGGCTCTAAGGCTGACGATAAATGCATGTGTGTTTTCCATCCCTCTGCAGGCACGGGCTCTGACACCTCAGACTGCAGAAACAGATGCCATCCGGTTTTTGGTTGGGACACAGTCTCTTAAATATGATAATCAGGTAACTATTTTTGACAAACATATACATGTTACTTACTAAGCTTATTTTTAGTTTTATAACCATTTTGCTCTTGATTTTTCAGGCAACATTTGCGGAAAAAATTAATGCTGTACAAACAAACTACCACTTTCCATAGATTTAATTGTGTTTTTTCAAGCTATTATACAATTTTGTATGATTGAGTGCGGAAATTTAAATACACTTGGCTCAGCTCTACTGTTGAATTTTGTTGTGGTTTTGTGGTCATGATCAGTGGGCATGAGAGGCAGCGGGTGACTCTGCAGTTGCTCCTGATACTCCATCCAGCCAAGTCTGGACCAAGTCACTGTCCTGCCTTCACACAGAGTTCTGACTACCTCTGCCAGCTGACCAGGAAATGACCTATTTGCTACTCTGGCTACTGGAGTGGACACTCACAAAATCTGGATTCAGCTCCAGGATTGGTACTGTCTGGCCTCTAATAAATAGGTTAGCCTTGTGCCTGCCAAGGAGCTGTGGATTCCTTAAGGAGGTGTGGTTAGTGTATGCAGGTGCAGATGGTGCACACTTGTAATACTCGCACTTGTGAGGTTGAGGCAGGAAGGTTGTGAGTTTAAGTCCAGCCTGGAAAATGTAGCAAGACTATCTCAGAACAAAGATATTTAAAAAAGGGCTGATAGCCAGGCATGGTGGTGCACACCTGTGGTTGTAGTACTCAGGGGGCTGAGGGAAGAGGATCTCAAGGAGTTCAAGGCCAAGCTGGGTTACATAAGTGAGTTCAAGACTGGCCTATGCTACATAGTGAGACCTTGTCTCTAAATAAAACAATAAAAAAAAAAGGGTACTGGGAATGTAGCTCTGTGTAGAGGCTCTAGCTCCAGTTCATAGCTAACCTTGCAGCTACCTTTTTCTCTGACAATTAAAGAGTAAATCTGATCACTTTTTTTTTTTTTTTTACTAATAGACAACATTAATTTTATTTGCATTTATTTTATGCTTAATTTATTCCTGTGCCATAAGTTTTTGTTTCTTCAGTTTCTTCTGGGATATATTTTTCTTTTTTCTTTTGGTACCAGGGATCGAACTCAGGACCTTGTGCTTGCCAGGCAAACACTTACTCCACTGAGCTATCATCCTAGCCTCTGGGATATCTTTTTCTTCTGTGCAGCTTCCTCCTCTGGTTTAGGAACAGTTTGTTCCTTTTCAGTAAGGATCATCTCAATATGGCGGGGGAGCTCATGTAGGGGTTAATACGGCCATGAGCTCTGTAAGTACTGCAGTGCATCTTGGGTGCTTTGTTCACCTGGATATGTTCAATAACCAGAGAATCTACATCTAAACCCTTAAGCTCAGCATTATGCTCTGCATTTTTAAGCATGTGCAGCAAAAATTCAGCACTCTTTTTGGGCCACTGACCTTGTGTCTAGCTCTACTGTTTGGCGTGGGCACACCTACCAACTCCACCATTGTAACGCTGGAATGGCACACATTGCTTCTTTAATGTGACATCCTTCAGACACTTGGTGGCCTTTCGGATATGTAGACCCTTGATGGCCTGGGCAGTTTCATGTGTGTTCATAAAGTAAAATGTGAAGGTTTGAGACTATTTTTTTTTTTGGTGGAACCGGGGTTTTGAACTCAGGTCCTTGTGCTTGCCAGGCAAGCGCTTATTCTACTGAGCCATTTCCCCAGCCCCAAGCCTCTTGATTTGCATGATTTTGTGGGGTTTTCTGGATAGAGAGAATAGTGAACCATTTTCACAGGTCACCTCAGGCCGCTCATGGGAAGAGCCTGATCACTTGTTATTTCTGTGCTTAGCTGTGGTTTGAACGTGAACCCAAATAACTGGTAGGAAGGTGTGTTTCTGAATTGCTGCTTGTGTCTTTCTGCTTCTGGCGAAGGCATCTATGTACCTTTGGTGACAGTGATGTATTCATTCATGCAAGAAATGCTGATTTTGTCTATTAATAGAACTCTTCAGTTGCTGTTTTGTTCTGTGCTGGGGGCACAAAAATCCACAGGTATTTGCTCCCTGAGCTGTGTGTTTAGTGAAACGGTGAAATCCACATGCAGATGATGAGAACAAGCCTCGTGTGCCCTGCAGGAGCCTGGGCCTCCTGGGGCTCAGCCCAAGAGGAAGGCCAGGGATGTGGAGCAGACGTCTTTGCTTCTGCAGTACACCTCTTCCCCAGGCTTAGTTGCACATTGGTGATCTCCTGTTTGTTATGTGCTAATACATGAGTCTTATTCCTCCTGGGGTGTGCCTGGTGACCAGGAGGCATGAACGGGGTTTGTCCTCTCTCAGCTCCCGTATTGAGGTCCTGATCCCAGGAAGGCTGTTGCTGATACATTACTAATGGGTTTTGCTTTTGCCAGTTCAGATAGAAATCACGAGCAGGCAAAGTGCAGCTCGCTCAGTGTCAGCAGGTTCTCGGGCTTTGAGTTCCAGGCCTTCAGCCCTCATGTTAGCTGCTCTCCCAGCTGTGCAGCCTGCAGTTCGCGGGAGCTCTGGAGCCTGTGCAGCAGCCAGCACCAGCGGCTCCCAGCATCCTCTAGTGTTACCAGCGCTCAGTGCTTCCCGCTCAGCCTGCTCTAAGAGGCTTCACTGGACCGCAGCTGGAGGGGGGCAGTGCGGGTGCGGGCTTTACCTAGCCTGGCCTGGCGAGTGTGAGGAGCGCTGTTTACGTAGACAGGAGAGGCCCACACATGCGTACTGTCTCTGCCTGCTACCTGCTTGTTCCCACCGTCCTGTGCAGGTGAATAGGGCCAGCCTGCCCTGGCTGGTGTGGGGTGGGGGCACCTTACGGGCCAGAGTGGGGACATCTGAGATGGCTCCAGAGGGGTAGGGTGTCCAGAAAGGCTGCACAACATTCAAACTCTTACGCGTATTGGGCTCTTCTCTTTCTCTCCCAGGTACCGTTTCTTCTTAGTTTTTCATCCTTAGCTCTGTGGTTCCATGCTTGTGTTTTGACTAATGATCACTTTGTTCCTGTGTCCCTGAGGCCTGGAGGTCCTGTCCTTAGCCACAATATGATTTTCCTGGGTGCTTTATAAAATACAGATTTCTGGGCCCACTCCTGACTAGGGTCAGTTTTTCCTGCTTTTCTTCTGTCCCTGCCTTTCTCCTCTTCCTCGTCCTTTTCCTTGCCTGTCCTTTCTGCCCTCTGTGTTCAACCATTAAGAAGAAGGATATTGTGGCCCTGCGTCACCGAAGCGTTGCAGGGAAGCCCAGCGCCTTGTGTGACCAGCCAAGGGCCTCACTGCCCTCTCTCTGCATCTTTCTCCCTTGAAGGCGGGCTCTGTCTGCCAGGCCTTGTGAGGTGGGGTGGCCTGAGAGGTCTGCCATACCTGGAGGCTCTTTCACAGGCTCTTTGCAGCTCTCAGGCTGGTCTGAAATTTGCTGACCAACGTGCCTTCTGGTGCTTTTCCCCTTTGAGCCCTTCAAGTCTGCTGGACTGCTGACATTTATCTAGGCTGTGCTTTCTAGGCCTGAGGTCCCCTTGTCCTAAATCCACCCCTGTCGCAGCATTTCATGGTGATACAGGTTGGAGGGGGGAAAGTTGTCTATGAATCTGCTGCAAAACCAGAAACGTGGGAAGAGCTGGAGACCTGCTGAGCTTGGAGGTGAAGAGTCGGGGCATTCTCGGAGTACACTAAGCTAGCAGTGCGTCATGGCTGAGGGAAGTCTGAAGGAGGATGTGGGCCAGGCCGTGGAGCTGTCCTGGGAATCCACTCTGTGTGGAGGAGAGCAAGGCCCACCCGGCCATGGGGAGGAGGGCCGGGCCCTGTGGCGCGGGCAGGATGGTCCTCTGAGTGGCAGGACGTGGCGGGGACAGAGCCAGCGGGTGCATCTGGGCTCTCCCAGGCAGCTCTCCCAACGCAGCAGCGTTGCAGAGGAGGTGTGGCGGAGTGGTAGATTTAAGTGCACTCTGTTTTTTTCCCCTAGTGCTAATGGATTTCTGATAAGCAGGAAATGTGTCAAACACTGAAGGAGAAAATTATTTATGATTTTGTACGTTACCTTTTAGTCTGTGGTCACATGCGGGCATTTTATATAATTGAGTGCCTTTTTATCCCTGCTTTTAAAAAGGAATACTCTCATAACATTTTTGATGTATAGAATCATTTTTAAATCCATATAATCTTCTATAATATATATTTTGGGATTAGTCTTTGAGGCAGATTTTAAGAAATCAAGTTACTCTTTCAATTCTGACATTTATGTAGTTCTACTTACATATTATAATGGACTTCTTAAAATTATTATCTGTATAGAACATATCCCAGTGTCACCATAGCTTTCCTGGTATTGGTGGCCACCACTTAAATCCAGTTGGCTAACTTAGTATTAATTGGTATTGCAAAATTCTCATTTTTAAATATTTAAGTCATCGGTTGTGATAAACAATGATTTCATGTAGCTGTTCGGTACTTTGTATCGATGCCAATGAATTTCTGTCTCCAGGTGTAGTATACTCAGAGTGTACAGCTGGCTTCAGGCTTACACACGCACGCGCATGAAGCCCTCGCTGCATCCCGTCCTCCCCCATAGCCCTAGCACCTTCACCCCGCCGGAAGTGGCCACTGTGCCCCAGGCCTCTGTTGTCTCTGATCAAATCAGGGATCCCTTAACCATCATTTAATAGTCAATTCTTAGTGGAGTTTTAAACACAGGACAGTGGCCACACCGCAGGGTGTTTGAGGTCTCCCGGCACTCTCAGCGCTCACTCAGCATTGCTCCAGGGCCCGGGTGTGTCTTGTGGGACTCAGTAGCTGCTCATGAGGAAAATACCCACTGCTCACATAGGCTCTGAGGCAGAGGCACTGAGGATGATTTTAAAGCTGGCAGTGGTGATGTCATTGTCCCCCAAAGAGAACAGACAGTGTCCTCACCCAGACTTCTGTTTCAGTCCAGCCACCTCTGGCTTCCAGGTGATCCCAGGTGGCTAAGTGGCCTCTTCACTGCCATGAGGAGTTAGGTGCAAGGGCTTTAGCTCATGGTTTGTGGAGGTTTCAGTCTGAACTCTTCTGGCTCCAAGGCAGATTGGCACATGGCTGAGGGCAGCAATTCATAGCGGCCAAAAGCAACAAAACAGCAAGAGTAAAAAGGGAGGAGCAGCAGCAGAGAGCAAGCCTCTCTTCCTTATGTTGCATTCAGGCTCTCTCCCCAGGATGGGTATAACACTCACCCATAATCCCAGCAGCAGTCACACCCACAATCCCAGCATTAGGTCATGAATGAATCACAAACTCTAGAACCCTGCCCCGTGAATGCCTGATGCTTTGGCTGGGGATGGGGGGATTATTTAGACATAAGCCAAAGCACTGTATCTGTCATGAAATATGCATTTGATTTTTTCTATGATCATGATATTTGAGATCCTAATGCATCTTTTTCTTGCATTTGTAGATCCATATCATAGATTTCGACGATGAAAACAACATTATTAATAAAAACGTCCTCCTCCACCAGGCGGGTGAAATCTGGCACATTAGCACCAGCCCTGCGGACAAAGGGGTACTGGCAACCTGCTACAATAAAAGTGAGTGTGGCCTTTTGTTGGGTATTTGGGTAGCTAAGGTGTCACCTGAGATTGGTTTTGTACTGTGAAGGTATCGGTGTGGAATCTGTAAACCTTGATCCTAGTGCAGGAGCTGTGGGCACAGGGACTGTGGTTCATGCTGTCCCCTAGTACACTTGTCCCACATGGTGACACTTACGCTGCCTCCATCTGGACAGTGTCCCCACCACACGCCCTTGGTAGTAGGTGGCAGCCTTCTTTGCTTGGAGAGGACCACGAATTTCCAAGTGGGAATAGAGGTGATCTGTCTGGAGGGAACCATATGTGCTTGGCCCAGTCACCTGCCAGGGACATGCAGAGCTGTGAGATGCTCTGGCGTGTTGTCAGTGTGCTTGGCCAGGCCAGCAGCATCCGCAGATAGATTTCTCCAGAACCTCACAGCCTGCAGTGGATGTCGTGGGCACTCTGTCTGTTGACCAGAGACCAGCCACAGGGCTGTGTACAGCACGGGTGAATGACACAGGCGAAGGGGACAGAGTGAGGTCCTCGCGGGATGCCAGGTGCCCTCTTCACCTCGCATGAGGCCCCTGCCATGCATGTCCTCAGCAGCTGTGTGCCAGCCTCGCCCTCCCTGGGGGCCCTCCTGACTTTCCTTCTGCACTGCACCATTTTCTGCCCCTCAGAGGCCAGGTTCGTACAGCTGTCCAGTTGTCACTCTTTTTCCTTAGCAGCTCTTCCTTCCCTTTCTCTTCCTTCCCCACTGCTGGGGGACCCTCAAGGGACGGCTTCCCCTGAAGGTCCCACTATGCCTCTGGCTACCACGAAAGTGCTTCTTTCTGGGCCGCAAGCTGCATTCCCACCCTTGTGTTCTATGGAGAGTCTGTTGAGGGTACTCTCCTTTCTTGATTTGAGTACTTTCTTGTTGTTATGCCAACATCCTCAAGAATCTTCTGTACATACAGCATCCTCCCTCGTCCTGGGAGTTTATGACACCGGCATCCACATCTGCAGCTTTGTGTGCCACAGTTGACACAAGCCGTCAGCCTTCACTGGGCCCACTGCTCTGCTTCTGGTCTCCAGGGTGATGCATCAGTGCCTCTGATCCGGGTCCTTTCTGGGTCTCAAGGCTGCTGTGCAGGTGTCTGGTGGGCTGCGTTCCCACAGATCCAGAGTCTCATTGCTAGTGTGCCGATTTGTAAACTCGGTTCCTAAGGGGGGGACCACGCGCCTGTTTTCTTGCTTGCTGTGTATGGGGACCCCTCCGAGCGCCCTGATGGTGAGGGGGTATTGGCCTGAGCTGTGAAGTTTGCGATAGAAAGCAAAGGTAACCATTACCCCTCTTGTCCCCCTGCCCAGGCTGCAGTGAATTCTCCTGTGCCCTTAGCCTGAATCCCTTAATCTCAAATCAGGGCTTCCAGAGACTGACCCTTCCTGCTGGTCTTTGCAGGCAATGTGGCAGTCTGCTCATTGCTTCCCTCATCAGTCTCCAGGAGGAAAGGCAGAGTTGTTCAGCAGCACTGTGTGTCAATGCCAGTGATTGCCTTAGTTCCTTCCACATAGCAGAGCTGAAGGGTCCCAGCACCCGGGGGCGGCTGCTTTCCACTGTGAAGCGTAGAGCTCTTTCCTTCAGCTCCAGCCGGCCAGACTCGGGCTTCACCTCCGCTCTGTGAAGCCATCCGTGGTGTCCCGCCTGGTCTACGTGGATGATTGGTAGCGAGAGTCACGTCATGGGGCTAGGTGCCAAACTCGTTATTTCCGGTGCCTCTGGACAGGCTTGGGGTTGAGGGTCCAAGCTTGCAGTTCACGCCTGAGCACAGAGAAGTTTTGCGAGACTGAGCGAGCATCGCAGCACACGCTTGCGCTGTCTTCCGTGTGCGGCTCAGCTGTGGATCCCAGGGCTTCTGTGCTATGCTGATCCAGCCCAAAAGCACCATCGGCTGCAGTCAAAATGTCTGACTTAGTTGTCACTTCCTTTTAGAGATCTCTGTAAGGAGCGGCACTGCACTTTACTCTCTCTTTTCCTGTAGCTGTTTTCTTTCCTTTTCCAGTTTTTATTGGTCCATGTTCGCAGTACACAGTGATTACGTTCCACGTGGGGAGCTGGTGCATGGACAGACAGCTTCTAGCTGTTTTCGTCCCATTCCCCTCCCCGCTTCCCACCTCCCCCTTTACGCTCCCCCCAACTATTGGTCTCTTTCCTTTGTATAGAAGAGTTTTCTACTTCCTATTATATATCTTTTTTTTTTTTTTTGTAATGTTGGTTGTTGTAATTTAGTTGTTGCAGGGTCCAGTACGCTACTGAGACTCATGGTGATCCTCCCGCTTTCAGCCTCCGCAGGGCTGGGATCACAGATGTGGGCCACTATGCTCCAGACAGTGACCAGCTCAGCTTGCCCTGGGGGTGGGGCTGCTGCTGCATGTGGTACAGAGGATTGAACCAAGGTCCTTATACTTGCCTAAGCTTGCCTAAGCAGGCGCTTTATCCGCTGTCTCTTTTATAGCCCTTCCTTTATACTTTGGGTTTCTCATATATTCAAAACCATGTGATAGTTAAGCATGTGTGTCTAACTTTCTTCACTTGACATTGTGGTCTTGAGATGTGTCTGTTTTCCTACAGATGACTGAAGTGTAGCCCTCTTTAGGGCCGAGGAGACCTCCACTGTGTGTGAATACCACCCTTTCTGGATCTGTTCATCTTCTGATGGACATGTGGGCTGCCTCCAAGGCTTAGCTATTATGAGCTGGGCCAGTAGAGCTCATGCTTGGGGGGACACCCCCATCATTGGCTGTCTTGGTGCCCATGTGTGTCCTTGTCCCTTCCCATTGCAGCTCTGCCTCCTTTCTGCCTCAGTTCATCCATGTGATGTTTTGGGTGATGGCAGCAGCTTGGAGTCAGAAATATGTGGCTAGCGAGGCAGACAGTGTGTGGGAATCAGGCCCAGCAGGCGCAGAGAGCAGTCCGTGCGCCCTGCCCCTTGCAAAGAGCTGGCCTCCTTCCCAGTTGTGTGCAGCGTTCGCTGCACAGGGCTCGGCCATTCATCCTCTAGGCTCTTAGTGGAGGGAGGGAGGAGAGGGCCGTGCAAAGGGCTCTGGGAAAAGAGGCTCGGAGTGCAGCTCTGCTCTTCTGCAGAGTCTCAGTGTGAACGTGGCTGTAAGCCAGGGCTTTGAGTTATTTCATAGCTTCAACTCACAGAATCTCTGCAGCTCAGTGGAAGTGTGTAGAGCAACAGTGCTCTTGCACACTCACGCTCACACACACTGGAGTCAGTATCGCAGCACCCTTGGAAATCAGTGTACAAACGAGCAGCGCTCTGTCCTTACCCCCATCATCCTCCTAGGGAGGGAAGGGAAGTGAAAGCAGTAGCCCAGCTGTGTGTGGTGGCGCATACCTATAAGCCCCGCTTTCAGAGGCTGATGCTCAGAGGCTGAGACAGGAGGATCACCCTGAGTGTGAGACCAGCCTGAGGCTGCATAGTAAGTTCCTGTCTCCAAGAACAAAACAAAACAACAGCACTAGTTCATGTGCACCTTGCACAGCCGAAGAGTCTCCTCTTCACAGATGTTTCCTTGCTGAAGGAGGCTGCGTGTCTGAGAAATGATGGGAAAGTGCTGGGCTTTAGCTCGTGGCACAGTGCCTGCCTGGCAAGCGTGAGGTCCTGAATTTGATTCCCTTCCCTCAAAAGAAAAGACATGCTGGGTAATTGGCCGTAGGTTAAAGTAGCCCGGAGATCCAGGCTCTTTCAGAACAAATGGTAGCACACCTGTCCGCCTGCACGTGGCAGATGGAGACGCTAGCAGGCTTCTGAGGGGGATGTGTGACCATGCTGGATCCTTGCACAGTCGCTGCTGATGAGGACTGTGATGTTCTCAGAGTTGGGGTGCTCAGGGGAGCTGCATGCACAATTATTAACTCTTGGGAGTTTTTCTATGGGGATGATGAAGGGTGAAAAAAACCCCTGTACCGTTTCATCCCTGATAATTTTGTACAAAAGCGCATCCATGTGGAAGCAGAGTGAGGATGGCTCACAAGCTGGGATCTGTTCCAGTTGCACTGTGCATGTGTGTGCGTAGCAGGTGTGTGGCAGCACATTGCTACAACACGGATGGAGCGGTCTAGGTGACAGGACAGGTGGCCGGTGGCCCTGTGCACTCTGCACCTGCAGGGCAAGCCTTCAGTCTTGAAACTGCTTTATTTAAAATATA